GGGTGGGTCTTGGGTTTTGGCGGGTTGTTGGATGGGTGGGGCCTCCTCTCGCCACGTGCCGGGGTGGGTTCAAAAGGTGGGTGGGTGGGCCGGGGGGCCACGTGCCGGCGGGCCCCAACACTTACTACACTGATGGCTGAATTAATCACGACAGACTACAGTCGACCAGTTCTGTTTTATTCTTCTTTTTCATTCTCAACCTATCTCTCTTTCTCTCACTGGATTACTTTTTTTAAAGACTTCTGTTCTCTCTCACTCACTTTATCTCTCTTTTTCTCTTCCATTTATCTTGTTTTGTTGGCCTTTTTAATACGAAAATTTTAATACAACACCATTTATTACAACGGGTTTCCCCCCATTTCTCCTTTTCCTTTCAGCCCGTAGCTGTCAATCACTGGAGTGAGAGGGTGGAGCCTATTGGACGAACGACGCCTGGCGGCCCGCGAGAAAGGGCGAACGTGCGGTGAAAAGCGAGCCAGCGACGACTGCCGAGCGCTGCCAAGACGAAGCGAAAAACGAGAGAGAGAGAGGGGGAAGCCAAACCGCCGAGGGAATCGACGGGGCTCCGTTTTGAACAGTCAAAAGCGTTTACGGGACGGCGAGGAGTAGTATCTACCGTTCTTGGGAGTTCCCTTCTCTTTTGTGGGATATCGCCGTGTAATACTTGGTACTTTTTTCTTGTTGGACTATAGCAGCAAGCCAAGATCAGGAATATCGTCACTGTGGAGTAGTAACCGTCGCCATGTGTCCGTTCAAAACGGCGTCCCAAGCCGTTTTCTGGACCTTCCTATTTTTCTGTGTCTTTGAGGTAAGTGGGAAGAAGGGGAAAGTCTTAATTTTCTTAGTTTGTATTGTTTATTGGGGGGTGTTTGTGTTTTTTTCTTCTCTTCTTTTCTTTCGGTTTCCTCTTGTTGCCTCTTGTAGTGAAATGTGAGTTGCTTGGAGTGTTCGTGGGTGACCGAGTGTGCAAGTGAGTTTGTTTTCGTGCATCTGTATGTCCGCGTGTGTGTTTGTGTGTGTGAGTATCATGTGTGAATGTGTTTGCACGCTCACACACCTGAGTGGTCAGTAAAGGTAAATAAGAATGTAACCTGTTGTATCTGTCATCGGACATCAGGAAAAATTTAGAGGAGAAAAGAACATGAAACACAAGAAAATCGCAGTTTGCTATACAATGAGGTATTAGGCCTATGTAGTGATAGCTCTTTTCCTCCTTCTGTCTCTCTATCTCTCTCTCTCTCTCCATATATACGAGGTCGTGTGTGAATGTGCGCGTGAAACAGACAGAATAAAACGGGTTTACTTTCCTCCCTAAGTGACTGTCCCCCTCCCTTCCCTCCAACATTCCTCGGTTGTGGGCTAGCTTTTCTTTTAGTTCGTAGAGAGCTGAAAGCGGATAACTTTCTCTTTGCATCATGCCGCAACCAACACCCGTTTTATTTATTTCTTCTCTCTCTCTTTCTCAACTCACCTGCTTCTTTACAGAGTGAGTGCCCAAGACCGCCTCAGCGCGTATCGTGTGCATGCGTGCAGCTAGGCTCTCTCTCTCTCTCTCTCTCTCTCTCTCTC